TGAAATCTTGTTCTTTTGCTGGAGCGGGGAAGTAAATTGGACCGGTGGCTCTGAGGGGGTGTGTGAGTGTGCGTGTGTGTGCGTGTGTGCGTGTGTGTGTGTGTGTGTGTGTGTGTGTGTGTAGACATTTCTATGGCAGATCTTAGGATCCACAAGTTTGGGGTATTAATTACATCAGGTCCGTGTTGGCTCCCGGGTCTGAGGAGGTTCCGTTTCCCATGGACGCTTGCTTGGGAAAGATTCACAGCTAGAAAAGGCCCTGCCGATTTCTCTAGATACTTCTGGTCTACACCTTCCAGAAGTTCTTGTCTTAGCGACTCCATCACAAACCGGAAGACCTCCAGACACCCATGCTTAGAAAGATGCTCTGCCCATGAGAAAACCAGTTACCCCAAGGTACCTTCTTGAGCAAATGCCTCGCCCCATACCCCATTAAGCCTTCTCTCTAGCTTCTCCCCGCCCCATTCCCATATTAAAAGGTCCCCAAAGCACTGAGGACAGCCTTCTCTTTATAAACCCAGGAGAAGGCAGGCGATAAAGATCAGGCATTTAAATTGGCCATTTGGAAGATTACATCTCTTCAGCGAGGGTTTTTCTTTCAAAACTCGCACTGAATTAGAGTCGCCGCTACTCCGCACCCACTCTCAAAGGCCGGGCACCTTTTAATTCCTCGGTGAAGTGGGTTGGGCTAGGTGACCGGGCGCCATCAAAGGCTGGAGGAAAGGCCATGGGGCGACACTCGTCTAATGACAAGTAATTGACGGATTCGAGGCCGAGCATTACCAGCGGAACGGGGAGGCATTAATTATTTAAAAACGATTAGCCTCGCCTTGTGTCCTGCAGGCGTTTCTTCTTGTTCAGGGAAGATAACCAGCCGCACGAACCAGAGCCAGGGATGCAGGACTGCGGGTGCGCTCCCCAGGCAGCCTCGGGTGCGGTGGACAAAGGCTCTGGGCTCCCGGCGCGGGGGCATAAGGGGCGGGCGCCCAGGGTCTGCACACGTTGAGGTGCTTACATAACTGACCCAGTCATTTACCAGGAGCAATTTTTGTCATTTGCATTTGGGATTTAGAGAATGCGGCTTAGCCAGAAAGAAGTTTCCAGTGGGTGTTGGACAATTTAGGTGGGTCGGGTACCTGGAGTCGCCCCGCCTGGAGAAATACCCGAAATTACAGTCAACCCGGCCTCTTGCAGGGCTGGATACTCAATAATCGAAGCAAAATCCTTAGGGGAATACAGATATGGGGAAGAGAGGGACACCTTTTCCGCACCCTGTCCTCAAGAGCCAGGGGGGACTATGGTTTCGACCGGCAATATCGGCATCTTCCTGCAGACTGCAAAAAGATGCGGTGGGCTTATTTGTCTTGCAAACTCGCGTCTTCCCGCACTGCAGCGCGTCTGCCCGGCCTGATGCCAGAAGAATCGGGTGGTAAAGTGCCCCACGACGGGTTTCTGACTTCCTTCTGGCTGGGCTGGTCCCCAAAAGTGCCTGAATCGCAGGACTGCGCGCCTGTGCGTAAAGGCCACCAGCCACTACTTGTGGCAAGAACGAAAGTTCACTGGCTTCTCTGAAAAGCTCTGCCCTTCTCCCGTTCCAGGGTGGTACCCCCTCTTAAATGACAATTCTGACAAGGGCTTCCCGAAAACGCCAAGACTGCATGTTACCTTCACCTGCCTTTGGGGAAAGGCGTTGCCACGCTCCGACCTCTACCTGTCCAGCTACCCAGTACCAGCACGCCGTTTCGAGCTGCCCCCTGCCCCCTGCTCTGAGGCCAAGACCATTCACCCACCTCCAATTCCCCGTTGTCATTGGAAACTCGAAGGCCCCGGGGGTGGAATCCCCAGCCGGGAGAGACTGCAGGGGCCTGCGGAGGCATCCCATAACTTAGGGGCCCCACCAAAACTTTGTGCTCAAACTCCTGATTCAGTATGAGTTTGTAACGCTTGGAGACATTCTCCTGCCATACCGTGCTTCTCAGAAAATACCCGGCAAAAAAGGGCTTCTCCCGAACCTAAGGGTTAGCTTATTGCCGACCTGGCTTCTCACTCCCGCTTCCCCACCCCTCCCCAGCTTAGGAGCCTTAGACCGCAGCAGAACTGGCTGGGGGAGGGGAGGTGCGCGGAGTGGAGTGGGGGGCGAACATTGACTGGGGGACCCAGGCGCGGCCCCCGTGTGGGCGCGCACCCTACCTGCGGTGAAGCTGGCGGGCGGCGACGGAGCGTCCAGCGCGCGGAGGGAGGCGGCCGACTGCTTCCAGCCGAGGCATCTCCGCATTTATTTGAGCTCAAACCGAGCGACTGTTGACTTTAGCACACAAAGCAAAGATTTCACTGCCCGCTAGTTTAAAAATGAATATTTTACCAAGATATCGATCAGCGTTATAAAATTCAGTTAAGTACAATGGGATCCTGGCAAAAAAAAAAAAAGAATAATAAAGGAGGGGGAGGCAATATAATATCTGTGCAAATTTGCTGAAGTGTGACGTGGCATGGAAAGTTTACCCTCCTGGAATTCGGATCTAGAATGTTTTTTTCGGTTGTTTACTGACTTTGTTTATTCACAGATCACGGTTGCTTAAACCGACGCGAGAAAAAGGAAGAAAAAAAGAGAGAGGGAGGAAAAAAGAAAGCCTGCACCCTACAATACACTGAGCTGGAGAAAGCGGGTGGAGGGCGATCTGTGAGCCTGAGAGCTCGGAGCTGGGCTGGGGGAGGGGGCTGGGGGGGGGATTTTGAAAGACGCAAGAAGCGCAGAAAAGCCGCCTAAAGCGCCGCGCTCCCCGACATCCTTTTTATGTATTCGGACAGAACTATATCTTATCAGCCGGGATCAGTGGAGGGGGGCGCGCTAAGTAGTTTAAAACGACCCTCGCACAATGGGCGTGCGATACGAAACATAGCAGGTTAGGGCAGCGCTTTCAGCCTCCATTGTCCCCCACTCGGCCCCCGGCCCTGCCTCTCGGCTCCTTCGCCACGGGAGCCTTTTATGTGATAATGAAACACATTTCAGCCCGGGCTCACGACGTGTGTGTCCTTGCCCAGGGGGGAAAGACAGCCCTGATTGCTGGCTGCGGCCTCCGGATCCCCCCCAAACCCGAACCCCTCCACCCTCCCCCCAAATTCTCTTCCTTGTGTTCTTTGGGACAATGTAGGCTGGTAAAAAGGGATTTGGTGACTAAGGGTTGGGGTGGGGAGTAGGAGGCAAGGACAACATTGCTACACCCCCCCCCCCCACAACTAGCAAGTAAGAAGGCTAAAAGTGTGAAGGGTAGAGACCCACGGGTGGCAGATGCTGCAAGCAGAGGCAGTTTATAGGATTGGGGTGAAGTTGGGACACTCCAGCTTTGGATGACCCAGAAGCCCAAAGACCTAGTTCTAGAAACTGGAGTCTGGGCTGAGAATCCTAATGCCATAAGTCATGGTTTTAGAGGCCAGCCAGGAATCTACTAATGGCAAGCTAGCTGCGCTGGGCTGGTGATGGCCACAAGTCTGGGGGTGGGGAGGAAGACTCTTACTCTTGCCCTAGTACAGCCAGCTTGCAGCTTAGCAGATGCTCTACCAAAGCTCCTCTATAACTCTTGGGAGGGGCTCCACATCCTGGGTTTCCACTGCAGTTGGCTTGGACTTAGGGTGACTAGACCCTCTGTGGAGAAAAACAGCACATTTTGTATTCTGGGTCTTTCTTTATACTGTATTTGGCTTTCCTTTTAAGACTCACAAAATACTCCTTCACCCTCTCTACCCTGCAATCCTGGCTTGCCAACTTGAGCTAACGGGGTGCTTTGCAAAGGTGTTGGTGTTTGGAGGGGAGATAGGAGGGGGAGAATCTGAAATCCTGGTATCTCACCACAGGCCCAGTGTCAAACTGGATCTTCCCCTCTCTTACCTCAGCCTCATTCCGAAACATACCTTATTGTTTTTAAAGGATACCTTATCCTTTGAAAGGATAAAAATTGGATCATGCCCCCTGAGCAGTCCCTTTACAATCTGTCCCAGGAAAAGTCCTGTTGGGTGGGTGGGGGTAGGGCAGAAGAGGTGGCCCCAGAAGTGTTATCACTCCTGGGCTACAGAAAGAGTGTGCAGGACACCTAAGGGAAGAAGTGTGAGTGAACACTGAGGCTGGCAGCTGGAGGATCCAATTAGAGCCCAAACTTCACAGGAGGGTAAACCAGTGCTAGAGAGGCAGAGATGAAAAGGCAAACGCTTACCAGGAATTTGCAAATCCAATCAGGGTTTGTGGACATAAAGGCAATATTGCAACAACATACAAAATCCAGAATTTTCTGAGAACAGTCAGTCCTAAGGCCCAAAGTATCTTCACTTTACCCAGTTGAAAAATGGAGCTATAGTTTTCTCCTCACTTTAAGGATAAATATCAAATCCATGGGATGGTCCACCTGGGATCTGTGTGTTTCATTGTGTGTAAAGTTAACCTGAACTCTGAAGGTGTAGCCATAAATGATATTGAATCTTTTCAACAAGGTGTTTAGGGTAGGTATACTGATGTCAGAAATTTACTTTGAAAACCATTCAGAAAAATAAGATGAGTTGATCAATGTTGGTGTATCTAGATTACATATATATATATATATATATATATATATATGACTAGTATGACATGAGCGAAGTCTGGGCAATGGGCACATGTGTGTTTACTGTAAAATTTGTGCAACTTCAATATGACTCAAAAATTAATAAATAAATACAGCAACAACCATCCTACAATATAAAATGAAAAACTGCAACCAGCCAGTATCTTCCTCCCTTCACTTATAGATAATTCCAAGCCTGTTTATTTTTTAAGTCAAGCAAAGGAAAAAAATCTTGAAGATTCAAGTGATAAAACCGGCAATAACACTTTAATATAGATTTGTGGAACTCTGGTCCTTGCAGCCAGAACACACATTTATCAGTCATAAATAAAGCACGCAGAAACCATAAATTAATCAGACCCGAGACCTGGATTTCACCATGTCAAGAATGGGAATGCATTTTTTTTCTTTTTCTTGGTCACTTACAATAGACCCTTACATAATTTTCCCCCTCTTCTTAAACAATAGTACAACTCTGGTTCTCTGTTAAAACTACGTTTTACACGGAGTCATTCACAAAGTTTGTTGTCTTTTGTTTTATAAAGTAAGACTTCCCTGCAACACACAGCAATGGAGAACAACAACAACAAAAAGTCAGATTTTGCAATTTTGTAGGTGCTTAAAGAAGCAGGTGTCTACACAGTAGTGGAAATGGAGGTTGTTTCTCTTTTCTTTTCTTTCTTTTTTTTTCTGACCGTCCATTTTCCCCCTCTTTCCCTCCTTATATAGCCTGGGTGATTCAACGTGACCCATCTGTTCCAGAGGGAAGAGCTGCAGAAGGTGAGAAGAGAAGGCTTGTTCTGTGGTAGGGGGCATAGTGGATTTCCTCTCCCTCACATCTCGACAACACCCTTCCTCAGAGTCTGCACCCCACTTTCCTCTCACTCCAGCCCTTGTCAGGGCAAGAATGGCCTGCAGCTCTTCCCTTAGGAGGAGTTCATAATGGGCCGGGAGTACACCCCCTGGTAATAGGAGGTGTCCGCAGTCAGGGGAGAGGCGTCCAGGCCCGCTTTGTTCGTGACCGGGCCCATGGCCAGACTTCCGGGCATAGGAGAACCGTAGCCCGGGTAATGCATCACCTGTTCGTAGGCCTTGAGGTCCATTTTGTGGGGCTGGTGGTGGTGGTGGCTGTGATGATGCTGCTGCTCCGAGGACATGAGGTTGTTGATGGAGAAGGGGTGGTTGAAGGCGTAATGGTGCTCGGGTTTCAGGTGGGCCTCTGGTGGCAGGCCTGGGTGATGGGGTGGACCCAGCAGGTGGGCCGCGGCCTGCTGCTGCTGCCCTGGCGAGGGCGCTGGCTCCGGGGGGCTCAGCGCTGCGGTGGGCGTCCCCTTCAGCTCCCCGAGGCTTCCTCGCTTGTGCTCCTGGCAGGGAGAAGCATTCGAGTGGGGCGACTCGGTGCCAGCCTGAGTCTCCGAAGCCGGCCCGGCTGCCTCCCCAAGCTGACCCTGCGAGGTCTGGGCCCCTGCGGCAGCCTTCTTGCCACTGCCCGTGGCACCCGAGGCTTCCTTCAGGGCCAGCTGCTTCTCGCATTTGAAACGCTTCTGTCGGCGCAAGTAGCAACCGTTCTCGAACATGTTGCCCGAGTCGGGGTGTAGAGTCCAGAAAGAGCCCTTGCCGGGCTTGTCCGGTGAGCGGGGCACCTTGAGGAAGCAGTCGTTGAAGGAGAGCGAGTGGCGGATGGAGTTCTGCCAGCGCTGCTGATTCTGCCGGTAGAAGGGGAAGAGGTCCATGATCCACTGGTAGATCTCACTCAGAGTCAGCATCTTGTTGGGGCTCTGCTGGATAGCCATGGTGATGAGGGAGATGTAAGAGTAGGGCGGCTTGGCGTGCGTGTAACTGCGTCGGTAGGTCTTGGGGTCCCGTGCGCGGCTCAAGCCTGCCTGCCCGTACATGGGGCTCATGGAGTTCATGTTGGCATAGGGGGCCAGGCCTCCCATGGCCCCGGTCGCCTGCCCCCCGAGGGGGCTCAGGCTCGGACTCAGGTGCGGTCCCATGCCCGTCACGCCGGCCGCCCCGGCCGTGCCGCCCATGCTGGCCATGGCGCCCGCCCCGGGGGACATGCCGGCCAGCGACGGACTCATGCCTGCGCCCACGTACGACGACATGTTCATGGAGCCCGCGCTCATGTTGCCGGAGCCGCTGCCCATGGCGGCCGCCGACATACTCATGTAAGTGTTCATGCCGTTCATGCCCAGGCCGGCATTCATGTTGCTCACCGAGGAGTAGCCCTGCAGATAGAGCCCGGGGAGGGAGGCGCACAGAGTTAGCACCGCAGCTGGAGCTTGCCCTGAACTTTCTCCCCCCCAGAACAGTCCAGGCCCCCGCTTACGGGAAGACCTCTGGAGAATCCTTTCCCAGTCGGGTCCCCAGCCCCCGATACCCAGTCCATTTTACCCAGAGTGGGTGGAGATCGCCCTGGTGAGGTGGCCAGTGGGCTGCTGTTTCGTGATGTGACGGGTTCTTAGCCTTTCTACCCCTCGCTCATATTTTAAAGCAGATTTTAAAACAGGGGTCCCGTGGAACACGCCCAAACTACCCCCCCTAAACTCATCTCCCCATCTTAGATTCTCCCTTTCCCCAACACTCCCGCCAGCCTAGGGAGCCGGTGCCGCGGTTCTATCAGCCACCTCCCACACTAGCAGGGGACCTGTGGGACACCACTTAGGGCTCCCCTGGCCGCCAACAGCGGGCCTAACCCAGGGTCCTCTCTACTCAGTCTTTCTCCTGGGACCCCAGGACTTTTTTTTTTTTTGTCCCAGGGGAACCGATGAGCGTCTCGAACCAGTCGGAGGGGTAAGGGGGGGGGGGACACCGCGACTGAGCCAAAGGCGGCTGGGCTTTGCAGCCACAAACTTTCTTTCTCTTTGTCCCTAGTCTTGACACTTTGCCTCTACCTCAGCCCCCAACTCTACCCACTGTTTCCTCTCCAGCTCCCCACCCCCTCGTCGGCCGACCTCCCACCCCTCCCCAGCCGCGCGCTGCCAAACATAACTCTGTTAGGATAGTGCGTGGCTCGTCCACGAAGAGGATTTGGAGGCGCCGCAAGTCAATATTTGATCACAAAGTTAATATTATCTCAAGGCTAACAGTGTGTCGTATAAAAAAGAGACCCATTTGAGTCGAAGGAGGGTGGAAAAAGCGGCTGCCCAGAGCGGCTGGGGGGTGGGGGGCGGGTGCCGGCGAGGGAAGCGGTCCTCAGGTTGGGGAAAAGAGCGAACGCAGCCACCCCACTTCCCTCTGGAAAAGGCGAGTGCCTACCTCTGGCTCCGCATAGTAGCTGCTCCAGTCGGACGGCTCGTGCCCTTCCATCTTCACCGCTCCCAGCATACTGGAAGCCGAGTGCATGGCAGTTTAAAATTTAACAGCCACAACAAACGACCAGCGATCACCCCCCACCCCCACCCTCTTAAAAAAAAAAAAAAGAGTCAGCCAAGGCACCGTCCCCTCCCCCCCCCCTCTCTCTCTCTCTCTCTCTCTCTCTCTCTCTCTCTCTCTCTCTCTCTCTCTCTCTCTCTCTCTCTCTCTCTCTCTCTCTCTCTCTCTCCCTTGGCCGGCCGCAGGGGATAGTTGGAAATGGGAGGGAGGGTTGTATCTCGGAGGAGGGGTCCGAGGATGGGAGGAGGCCCAGACCCGAGTCCGGCAGCAAGAGCGCCCGCCGCCCGCCGCCCGCCGCCCGCCGCCGCCGCCGCCGCCGCCACCTCCACGCTCGCGGGCTGCCGGGTGGAGGCCGAGGTTGGCAGTGCCGAGCTGTCGGGAGGCGGCGGGAAGCGCGCGGCGCGGGGGCGGGTAGGGGGGGTGGAGAGGAGGAGGCGGTGGAGGAGGAGGTGTGGGCCACGGAGCGGACAAGTGCCGCAGTGACGTGGGTGGCTGGTGATATAGCGCGGCACGCCGGCGCGGGCCTCCAATCCCCAGACCCCGGGCAGCCCATTTGAATAATCAGCTCACACCTAGGTGAGAGGGAGCCTGGGCCCGCGCCCCGCACCTGCCCCTCGGCTCCCCCGGCGCCCTCCCTGTGGCCGCGGCGCCCTGCACGCAGAGAGCGGTCGGCGCGCCCGTGGGCTCGCGGGCACCCGGGTCCATTCCTCCTGCCGCCCGCGCCCACGCGGAGTTCCGCGGCCGGAGAGACCGGGGAGGAGGGCGCCGCGGAGCGGCCCGGGGTCTGACCCCCCTCCCTATCCCGTAGCGCCAGACGCCCGGGGAGTCTGTCCCGGGGCTCGTCGAGCCTGAGAGCCCCGTTCCCCCACTACCAGGCCTGATGCAAGCCCCAGTTATGTATCCCGGGTTTCTTCGCTCTCCATACTCATTCCCTGTCAAAACAAGCCGACGACAGTGCCAATTTGCAAAGCGCTGTCCTATTTAGAAAAACTGTGTACACACCTTTAACTCGCCCGCCGCCGCTCTGGAAGGCCCCTCCCTGTAAGGTTGAGACGCGGGGCAGCTCCGGAAGGCGAGCGGGCACGCCTGGTCCGGCCGCCTCGGCTTTTTGCCTCTTTGGAGTCCGGCCTCTGGCGACAGACAGGGGGGCGGCTGGCCGGCCGGAGTACGGTCCCGGCGGCGGTCGTAGGGCGCACGCAGCCCTGCCAGCTGCAGCCGACGGTTGGGAGACTGCTATTTGTCTCTGACATTCAGGCCGCCGTGTTTCAAGGTTACTTTTCAGTCACAACCGAGGTGCCCACAGCATTTCGTAACTAAAACAAACAGGGCAGGAGGGAGGGGGTGAGGCAGGAGGAGAGAAAGAAATAAAGGAATCAATAATGGGGCCCATGGAACCCACCTTAGGATGGTCTCTGCTGTCCTGAGGGACCACTTCATAAAATTTTAGAAACCCCAGCAACTGAACACTTCATTTTATCTCTCTCTCTGGGTTTCAAGTTCTCATCCTTCCTGTGCCAAGCACCAGAAACTCAGTAAGTACACAGCTGAGGCTTGGGGGAGATATACAGGTGTTGGGGGTGGACACCCTGTCCTGTTTCTAAGAACCAGGCAGGACCCTGAGGATCCACTTCCATGTCCTCCATTCCAGAGAAGGATATAGTGGGTATCTAGCTCATTTGTCCTGAGCTGTGAGTAGTGGTGGCAGAGAGGGAGGGGACGTGTTAATTAGGAGACTCAACCTTAAAAACAGAAAAAGCATCTGAAGGTCTGGTTGGAAGGCGAGCCAAGAGGAGTGGTAGCTGCAAGGGAGTTCCCCTTCTCTCATCCCTTCTCTTACTCCTGGTCTCTTGGGCCTTCATGGATTTGAACCCCAGATGTAACCACTACATACTTTGTGTTGAAGTATAGATGGGTGGACCAATTTGTTGGGAAGGCATCAATAAACTGGGCAAGTGATCACCATGGCAGGCTCCTCAATGTATGCTTCACCTGGAGACCAGTGGGCAGCAAGCCCACAGGGCTCTCAGGAGGTACAGGCCATCCATATGCACCCCGGAAGTGTGTCCTGGAGTATATACACACACTGTGTGGCTGTGTACAGAGGGGCCAGCTTCTCAGCATCTCCCACCAGATCGATCCCAAGACATGGGTGAAAACAGCTTCACCTCTTTCCCTGGGGCTTGGGGAAAAGAGGTGTGTTTTGGTGCTCAATGGAAGAGTTGCATGTTTGCAAAGCTTCCTATGTAGGCCAAATGCATGCACACACACACATACACACACACAGTCCTCTCTGTGAAAAGAGATGTCAAAACAGACAAATCCACAAAACAATTACCAACAGTTTTCTAGAATGTTTAAAATTGAGAACGATAAAAACACAAATTCTGGTTAACCTAACCTGCATTGATGTATATGTATGCTCACACCTATTTTTGCTCCTGGTAGAAAACATGTTCTAGAAATTACTCCAAGAGCAAAAGGAACCAGTAGAGCAGGATCCGGTGGTGGGCAGAAGGCCCATTGCCTCCAGAAGGCACAGACCTGCAAGTTACCCCACCGTTAGTAGCGGATGGTTGCACCCTGGAGTTCTCAGCGCTGGCTTCCACAGTGACAGGGTGCCCCCTGTCGGGGGAGAGGCCCTTGGGATCGACCGGACTAGTCAGTTATGTGTCAAGTGCACCTAACTCCTCCGGAAGCGGGCTGGGTTCCTTTTCTAGACCTCTGTGAATCTCTTGGAAACCATCAGAGGTTGGAGTTTCTTTGCAGTCCCGCGAGTTGTGTGCAAATCTAAACCTGCCTTCAGCCACCTGGGAAGTTGCGGAGAGCTGGATAGGGTCTAGCTGCTTGTGATGAGGCCTTTTGGAGCTTGGGAGCCAGGAGGCCAGGGCCTCTCTGAGGTTGGGTGGGGGTGGTGGCAGAACAGCGGGCAGTTCACTTTAAGTAGCCGAGGGCCAAACACCAGACTGCTTCGAAGGAAGCAGGACCGTTGAAATGCACTGCCGGCAGGCCGGCTTGGCTTTCCTTTCCCAGGGCCCAGGTTTTTGGAGGTATTGCCTCCCCCTGCACACTCCGCCGGTCCTTCCCGGCAGCTTTGGTTTCTAAAGGTTTATTCAGAGCGTCTGGCACGAAAGCCTCAGGCTGGAATGCTGTAAATTGCTCCGGGAGCTTCTCTCCAGGAAAAAGTTCGCGGGTAACTCCGGCTGAAAACAGATGTTTTCCCTGCTGCCCCTCACCCCCAACACACACACACACACACACAGACACACACACACACACACACACCTTAGTTTAATCCCCCACCCCCACCCCCAAGCCCAAGGACTGAGCCCTCCAACGCTCTCCTTTGCCCATTTCCTCCATATTTTCTTTCAGTCAGGCACAGCCCTGTTTCAGTAGCAAAGTCCTCTTATAAACAGACTGTGCTTGGGTAAGGACACTGGCTTTATTCTGGATGCTGCCCCAGCAGATTTGGGCCTCCTCATCTGGGCCTCCTGGGCTCTTCCTGGGAAGAAGACAGGAAGGTCCTTCATCCCCAGAGCAAAACTGCGTTACCAGGAGTTTTCTCTATCAAGTGAAACTGGCCAACATGGGAAGGGTACATCAGTAAATAGAAGGCAAAATCCCTAGGCCATAGCTCATAACATACCAAAGAAGAAAAAAGGTGCCTTGGACTGATCAATAACCCCAAACCTAAAGTCGTGGGGAGAATGGATAGCTAGGAAATGCTTGCTTTCAGGCAGCATTAGGCAGGTCTGCAGCGAAACTAACACCAAGCAGACAGAAAGGTGACCTAGTCAAGTCTTGTGAAAATATACATTTTACTTTCAAATTAGCTTTTGGGTTAGCAGAAATCAGACACTAGCCATTCCCTTATCCACAGGGAAGAATCCTCAAGTCTGAAAAACAGCATGCATACAGTTGTGTTAATGATTGTAATGGACACTTCACCTTCTGTCATGGGTTGTTATTTCTGGAATTTAGTTTAAGAAAATCAGACCATCAAAACTGACTGTTGTACATCTTCAGCAACATAATGCTAGTTGATTATGGACAGAATAACTGAAAAGGTATTTAAATAAGAACACCTTATCAAAAGGACTTATGTGAAAACTGAAGAAAGGATTCAGTATGTCGCAGCTTCCTGCAAAAACCTGAAATAAAGTGTGTGGGGAGAGCAAGATACAATATTGCAAGTTTAATAATAAACCATGTATCTGCATGCAGTGTATCTTTCTTGGGCAAGTATACACAGGGGGGAATGGGAAATGATCATAAATAATGCTAACAAACATGAAATAATGAAATAAACATGTTAATAAACTGATTGTGGTAGTAGAGTTTTATCTCCAATTGCAGTATAGTGGTATTTTGTATTATTATTTCACACATTATTTTATGTTGAAACATATGTGAGTATTATATCCTATGTCATAGAAACTTTGGCAAAGCAATGGATACACATACACAAAAAGCATTAGAGTAATCATTATTCAAAGAACAAAGTTTAAATTCTGAAAAAGAAACCAGTATTTTTTTTTTCTTACCCATGTAAAGGTATACTGTGGTGAATGCTATTTCAAAGCTGAAGAAGGAAGACAAATACCATTCTTGCCATTCGCAGGTGGTGACTACTTACATAGCACAGGAGTAGGAGGAATTCCTTGGGGAATTGTTGGTATCAACCTACTGTGCATGTAAAATCTGATTGCTATTTGGAAGGTTTGGGCTTAAAATTTGATTGTTTTTTGGAAGCTCGTCTTCAATGGGCTTTTTCAGTGTTTGAGTTGTGGTCAGCTCCACTCCCATCTATGGGTGTCTGTGGAAAAGTGTTCTGCATTTGAGTCCAGGGTTTGACAAATATTTCTGGCATACACTTGGCATCTTATCCACCATTCTTGAGTTTTTAGCACATTCCTGGTATGTGGTACTATTATAGCAGGTAATTAAAATAATTGAAAGAGATAAAAATAAAGAAATGACAACTTTTAGTAGCA